CCGAGAGTTCTCAGGAGCCAGCCCGGCTCAATCCCGCCTGCTTCGCTGCCCCCCCACACCCAGCCCAGCCTACGCTGGAAATAGCTCCTTTGTGTGACATCATCCTTCGGGTACCTGGCCTGCAAGGAGTTACTCAGGCAATCCCTGCTTCCCTGACAAGAGGCTGCCCAATCAGCGCAGGCCCTGGGCTCGGCCAATCGGCTGGCTCAGAGGTGATGTCATGGGGAGAGCTGGCCAGCTGGGCTGATGCTGGCAGGAGCCCTGAGTGCACTGAGTGAGTGAGTAGCGCTGGGAGCGCCAGACAGAGCAGGTGTTGGGGGTAAGTAGCAAAGGGAGGCGAAGCAGGGAGGAATGCAGAGGGCGGGGGTCTGGCGCTGTCGGGGGCTTTGAACTCTGGGCCCCCGGCGGGTTGTGGCCTGTGGGGGAGGCGGTGGCACAAGGCGGTTTTATACAAAGCGGTGAGCACCGTCTGCTGTGTCTCCGAAAAGCCCAGGCAGGGTCTGAAAGCGGCGCCAGCCCTCATGGGGCGCCTCCCTCTTTGTCTGTCTGTCCTGTCTGACTCTCACCCGCTGGCCTGCTTTGCTTCGCTGCTTGGCCAGGCGCAGGCTCCTGCAGCATGTGGACTGCTTCAAGGGAGAGATGTCCGGCTCCACCCCACAGATGGGCACCAGCTCCCGCCTCCTCCGCATCCTCCCAGAGCTCATCTGTGCTTGGAGCAGGGCCGCCTGTGCCCGGCTGGGCTGGGCAGATCTTCCCAGGCAGGGAGAAAGTGCAGCGAGTCCAAATCGAAATGCACCGAACGGTTCTTTCTTTGCTTTCAAAAGTGCCTTTACTCGAGGGCTGGATCCTGTGTGTTTGGCATTTTCTTCCCTACTTATTTGCCTGGCCATAACCTGGATTGCATGGAGTTTTAGATCTATCTATCTATCTATCTATCTATCTATCTATCTATCTATCTATCTCCATACACCCCCTCTATCTATCTATCTATCTATCTATCTATCTATCCCCATACACCCAGCTATCTGTCTGTCTGTCTATCTATCTTTATCCACCCCACAATAGATATACTGAGCCTGATTCTGATCTCATGCTGATGTCAATGAGGAGTAGCCCAATGAAATGAATTTCCACGTGGGTAAAGTCAGTGCACACAGGATCAGGATCAGGCCCGTTGAGTTCAAGGCTCGCTGGCTGTACCCAGAGCACAGCCGGGTTTCTCTGATCCCAGAGAGGGGTCTGCAAAAGCCTCCATCTGCTTCCATGCACAAACTGCCGTAGCCCTGAGTGGGGTCAGGTAGGGTGAGTCCCTGCTTCCGGACTGTGCCTCGAGGCGGTGGTGTGGGGACAGGCGGCAGCTGAGCCAGCTGGCTGTGCGTGTGGAGGGGGGAGCGGACCGACAATGGCCCAGCCCAGGTGTTCCCCACTGGGATGTCCCAGAGGGAGCGTTGCAAAGGGCTTGTCCTGCTGCACTAGCCAGAGCCGGGACGCGGGCTGGGGGATGCCATCGGTGCTGGAGAGGGGGGCCGGCTGCCTTACGGAGGGAGGCAGGAAGCTGGCTTTCCGGGCAATGTCTTTATTGATTTTGGGGGGCGGGGCAGGGG